GCGAAATGTTGGAGGTCCGTGTACTGGCGGGCGATTCCAAAGCCCTTCACTAGGGCGCGCCTCATAACAATACCTTGTTTTTGGCACGCAAAACCCCAGATATCATAATTTCACGCATGACCAGTACGTAACCATCCTGCTTTCGCAAAAAAAAAAAAAAGATGAGGTAACCAGCAGTACCAGCAAGAGTCTTTTCGTTCGACGGTTTCAGTGTTTAGCTTAAGGAGGTTTGGTAGGGTAGATCGACATGAAAGCGTTCTATTAATTTTTCATTTATTGTTTTGTTTTTCACTACTCAGAAATCATGCACACTTTGAGGGGCAAACCTTGCATTGGCGAGCGCGAAGGGCTACTCGAAGACATCTACAAACAGCGCCAAAATCCGCGCCTCCTGACGGATGCAAGGGTTTGTTAACATGCGTGCGAATTCCGCCCCAATTTAATATGCACTGAAAAAAAAACTACTTTGACACCAACCAGCTGGGAGCAATTCGCCCACACGTCAGCAAGAATACAAAAGAATGATAGTTCGTTTGCAAGTTGTTTTCCACCAGCGGTTCTGTATTCGCGTATGTATTTTTGTATGTGTACAACAAAGCGTTCGAAAAATGCCCGAGCCTTTAAATAACAGAATGGGTAGTCCAAGTTTACAACGCTTTCATAAGTTTGGGAATCATTACACTTGTGCATCTTCGTACCGTAAGTAATGGCGGTTTAAACATTCGTCACCGCTCTTCAATGGCGAGTCTCTCGCGAACAAAAGTCAAGGCCAGTCGTTAAGTTAAACTGCGATCAAGCGACAAAGATCACAAAATAATAAACGATGAGTAGCATGCGAAGCAACACACAGGTCGACTTGAAAGTTCTGTTCATCACAGGCACCTTACCCTTGCAAGTATGGCACGCCACGAATTCACTGTTGCCGTTACTCATCCCGCACTCTTGTTGGAGGTTCATCGCCTCGCTACCATAGAGAAACATACTTGTATGCGTACAGAGCGGACACTCCCGTAAGAGCCTGCGGCCGAGCTACTGCGTACAGTTTTTTTTCTACTGCGCTGCTTTCAGCGCCACGAGCGGCTGGTCAGACCCGATAATGTCTGCAGCATAAATAAAACAACAAACTTTTTTCTTTCCGATGCTGCGATTCGAACTCGAACATTCATGCTCCAAAAGCCAGTGTCTTTACCCGCAACCTTGGACCACATCATCTGGGCATGCAGCAAACGCTATCCCACCAGACCTCCCAGGACAGTCACCTTCCAGTGAGGCCTGGAAAAGAATCCACACTCCCACAAGCCTGGACGTCCAGATCCGGGCCATCAAACGCGCTGGCGAGGTGGCGACCAGGCATGGCTTGACAGCCCTCGCTACTTAAGAAACCATCAGCGAATTCCATAATAAAGTTGCTTACTACTACTACTACCACCACTATAGGTGGCAGACCCACGCTTCCATAAACAGAATACATGTACAATACATCTAAACTACATGAATGTGTACACTTTCTAGACAGACTGATTTACAGATTTTTGTGGTGACGCATTAAACATACTCAGCGGGACACGATGTAAATTCGATATGAAGAATTTCACAAATTAATCATTTGTTTTTGAAAAACATTTGATGCCAAGCTTCGGTCTTCACGGTCCTCCTGAGGCGGCTATTACATTAGTTGACTAACGAGTAGAAGTGAGCATAAGTACGCCATCTAGATGTAAGTCAGACCCTTGCGTGCTCGGCCGCGAAAAGGCTCGAGTAGCCACTCTTTGGGAAAGTGTATTTTTCCGTGACGCCAAGCGGGAGTATATCGTGGGTTCATCGCGCGTCTGCAGAATCTCGTTTCCCGACGCAATCACGTGACTGCTGGGTCAGTGTAACAGGTAGACGCAACAGCCTCTCACCTAGCCCCTTACACAGGCCCAAGCGCGCTAACGCGTAAGCACGTTCTGGCAGTGCTTGGGCGAGCTGTTGCGCATGCACAGTAAGCATTGAACACACACTGCATTGAACTCAATCATAAGCTCCCTCGCAACTAAAAAAAGAAGTCACAGCTTTGCCGCAAAGGCGAAGCAATAAACGCGATAGCAACAAATTAGAAGGTCACGCGCAGAATAGCAAGCAGATCGAAACGTACCCCGCGTTTTTCACGTTGCGCACGAAATGTACTCACAGTTACAGATGAACGCGAATAAGCCTCTCAGCTGTTACTTCGCTGTGCCTGAAAAACGCGCTTTTTCGCGAACGAAGACGGTGCAGCGATTGCAGGGACCATTGTGCATCCGGTGACTGCAACAGAATCGTTCCGGTGAAAGCCCAAGGCCAGCCAAGTTGTACGATTGTCCCCACCGTGAGATAAGCGCGCGCGTTAGCGTCCACTCTGCTGCCTCTCCGCAGGGCAAAGTACGCGTGGGCGATGAGAGCGCGCGATAACGCGTCGTGACAATGTTGGCGACGCGCGCTCAGTGCACCATCATGCTGGTAGTGCTGAAAACATGATAGTTCCCACCTAGATGCCCGTCACCAGAGTTAAGTGGTAGGTATAAATAAGTTGCCGTTAAAACTTTGAAAGAGGTGCTTCTTCATGGTTCAGTGGTTAACCCATCGCACTCCCACTTCAGAGATCCCAAGTTCAATTCTGCGCGCCGGAGTGTTTCTCGGATTTATTTTTCTTTTTTTGCGTTTTCATACATATAGACACTTATACATATCTACGGTGAGTGACAGCGACGTCGACGCCGGTGGTAAAATCCAGCCGAGAGTGTCCAAAAAAATCGCGGGGGCTAATGTTAACATAGCAAACAAATGCCTCATTTGATACACGACCGAAGACATAAGCGAAACATTTTAGCCCACTTCTCGAGGCGAATACGCCAGGGGCCGGAAACCCAGCGCTAGTTTCGCTATTAAAGAACATGCACGCTCATTTTTTATACAAAACATTCAATAAAAAGTGCATTTCATTTGTGTAGATCCAGTTTCGTCTTACTGAACTTTTGCCTCTTCAGAAAGCACAAACATATTAAAAAAGATTAACAAAGTTTTATGGCCGCATTACTCAAGAGGGCAGCCGACCTGAAAGAAGGCACGAGCTTATTCCGCTTGCGCGTGAATGGAGAAAAGAGGGCTTCCACGGCAACCCTTCGCAGCCACCGTGATGCACTGTATATGTATACGTCTGTCTGTCTCTCTCTCTTTCTCTCTCTCTCTCTCTCTCTCTCTCTCTCTCTCTATATATATATATATATATATATATATATATATATATATATATATATATATATATATATATATATATAAGCTCAAGAAAGAAAAAAGATGCTCCCACCACCCCGAAGAGAATCGTGACGAAATTCGAATGCATTGCGGTGCCCATAACGGCGTTTCGCACCTGAAAACCCAACGTTAGAATGATAATGTTTTCTTTTTTTTTTCCTTATACCGTGCAGCCCATGACACCGTTCGCCGCACGTGGCTTTTTTCTATCGCGAGAAACGCGGTATGCATTCCCAGGTCTAGTAGCTAGCGTGGCCGGTTAAACACTGTGAACGAAACAAACAGCGTTCTCGGCTAGGCGTTTTAGAGCGGCGTCTCGAGCCCCCATCCCTCTGGGTGTTTTCGAGAGGCGCCCAGCCAGCGAACGTTCGAGAGTGAGGTGCTAGCGTGCGGAAAAGGTGGGGCGCAGGGAGGAGAGAGAGCGAACAGCGAGAGAAGGAGCGGCGAAGCCCTGTACCTACCCTCTCCAAGACTCTGTCGCACCACACGCTCCTGTTGCTAGGGTCGGGCATAATGGCGCGCGCGCCCGCAGCTGTTGCTATGGAAGAGGGAGTGAGAGCGGCGGCGCGGACAACGCCGGATGCATGACATAGCCCGACTAAGAAATGCATTCGTATTTTAAAAAGCCGCCCGCGCTCAGCACCCTGCTTGTCGCAATGCGCCAACATGCGCTTATCTCCCACGCGTACTTCGCCCCGCGGTTGGGGGGGGGGGGGTGCTTGTGCCCACGCTTATCCTTCAGTGAGGCGAATCAGGGGCCTTGGCATTACATCGGAACTATGGCGTTAGTAGCCTGGGCGCCTGGCCAACGAAGGTCAATTCGGTCGCTGGGCAGGCTTCGTTTCCGAAAATAGCGTGCTTTTCAAACGCAGCGAAGTAACAACTGGGACATTCGTTAGTTCGCACTTATGTCTGTACCTGTGATTAGGTTTTGTGCGTCGTTTTCGTCACCAGTGAAGTCATGAAATTCATTTTTTGTTCGTGATTTATTTCTAGTAGGATGCGCGGTAACCGCCAATGCTAAAAGCGACGCTCCCACTGCCGAGAGCACCGAACATAAGAGGTATAGAGAGTTTTCGCCCCTGATTACACGTCGGACGCTGCCCACTGAAATATATAACGCGGAACGTTACACTGCGTTGCAAAATGAGAATAGAGTTTTCGCTACAGCGCCGTGTACGATACGCGTTTGTCTTTCATTGCTATACACCAGCGTCAAGCAGGGAATGGAACGATATCGCAGTGTAGCATTTTAGAAAGGTTCATGGATATGAGTGCCTTATTGCGCTAAACATCAAGTGCGATGTATTAAGACACCTATTTGATAAATCATATAACGGGTACGCAGTTCTTGCGTATTACCAATTTGAAATGCGCCAGTGGCACGAATGACTGCAGCTGGCGGTCTCTTTTGCCTAACATCGAGTGTTTAGTGGCAGCAACTGATCTCATTCCGCAGACCGAGTACAAACCTTCCCACGGTTCCGCACACGGTCTCATTCACAAGCATCGCTGCTAAAATGATTATCGCAGACCCCGAAGATGGAGATAATTCCAAGAAGCACCCAGTCGCCTGTCGGCAATTAGTTCACCGCAATGAAGCGTCAGAACTTTTCGAAAGCTACGACGACCCTCCTCTGTACGAAAGTTTTAGGACATCGGTCAATGCAGGCCCATAAGTGTCTGGAACAAATTGTAAGGGTGTGGCCCGAAAATTCACAGGCTTTTTTCTATGAAGGTACGCGTGGGAAGAAGGCACTTGGCAATCACGGAGCCATGCAGTGCATATCGGAAGGCGGCTTTTTTATTTTTTCATTAGCTTACGCCCACTTCCCTCGAATATGGACATTGAGGGCTGCAGAAATGAGCGTCTACGCTGACGCCATACCACAATAGAAAAACTGTCTTTCTGAGCTCTTATCCTTACGAGGCTTGCATTTCAATGAGATTTTTTTATGCAGCAGCGAGGCAACGCAGCCCGATTACACTCGCTTTTCACCGTTGCCTTGCGCATGCATGTGACGATCGAGACCAATCGAGCTAACGGCTAATGCTACAATCTCACGCGATCATGTTATGTGCCGTTTTGTTGAATCATTTCTATTCTTAGGCAAACTGCTGACGCCATTTTCTGCGAGACGTCATCATCGCATAGAACGTATTTTCCTTTCAGAATTAGAAACAATTGCTCCAAGATAACCGAGGCGTTGGACGGGAATGGTTCGGGTGCTTCACCAAAAACGCCGATGAGAAGGACATCCTCCTTGCCACAACACTCTGGCCAGTCGTCTAGGTCAGCCGGTGCAGCAGCAGCAGGAGTGGCAGCAGTCCGTACAAGGGCCCCACGGCCGCTGCCTGGCCGGTAGTGGTGGAGGAGGCGACGGGATCGCACTCGGTGTGGTTCAGGTGCTTCTCGCACGATCCCGTGAACAGGCTGCTGCTCAGGTAGCCCGTGTAGCGTTCCAACAGCCGGTGTGCCTCCGGGCCGCAATGCTTCTCCGTCTGGGCCCGGTAGCAGTTGTAGAAGGCGTAGAAGTAGCTGCAACGACAACAGCGACACTACCCGATCACTCGTTCACTGAAAAATTTGCCTCTCACCACTTTGTCTCGTTTTCATTGCATGCTTTTGTAACTCTCTCGCCATTGGCTGACGAGCGGGTGCGACGCAGCGCACACACAGTCAATCACGTTCATGTTTAGAAGGTCACACCATTCGTCACCAATGCTCAGACGGCCGCGATATTTTCGCACGCGTTGGGACGGCCACATGAATGCGGTGCGCCAGCAGGTCCCGAATGACGCCACGCAGAGGACATGATGAATATTGGCCTTGAAACAAAGCTTCGCAAAGCAAGTTTCCTGACATAACGAAGCAGGGTACCCTGAATGGGTTATCACGAGGTCCTGCAAAAAAGTGGCAAAGTAAAAGCTGGACAGAAGAAAACAGAAGATTATACCGCTATAACTCGAAACAATCTAGCTGTGATTTCTTTAGTGCATGCGCAGGCTGTCGCCTGGGATTAAAAATCTAGGTAGTAGGCACCAAGTTGGTGCATGCAGCGTTGGCCGCAAGTTGCGCCAGGTGGCCCAGTGGCTAAAGTACTCGGCTGCCAACCCGCACGTCACGAGATCAAAAACCCGGCTGCGGTGGCTGCATTTATGATGGAGTTGAAAATGCTGTAGGCCCGTGTGCTCAGATTTGTGTGCACGTTAAAGAACCCCAGGTGGTCGAAATTTTCGGAGTCTTCTACTAAGGCGTCTTTCATACACATATGGTGCTTTTGGGACCCTACATAATAATCAATCATCATCAACTTGCGGCAGGTATTGTGCAAACAAAATCAAACTGAGAAAATACGATAAACGGCAACACATCGCAATAAAATACAAAGATAAGTCGTAGAATTAATGCAGTATACAAGATACCATGTTCTTGCAAAACGTTTTACATCGGCCAAACTAGTCGGCGCGTGAACTTAAGGATCCAGGGACATGCACGTAATGTCGAAAATGGCACAGGTTTTCATTTCGTCATTCATTGTCGATGAAGTGCTTGTAAACCTTGTTTTGATAAAACCGAAATGTCGCATTCTCACAGAGACTGACGGGAAATCATGGAGGCGTTTTACATGTGAATGGAAGGTGTTCACTGCACCAGTCATCCTTCCCTGTCATATGCCTCGCAGATTGCTTGCATCAGTCTTTCGTGGTGTTTTGTCAGAATGCGCGATGGTTGTTTCTCAGCTTTCCCAGGCGTTATTTGTTTCGCTTCTCTTTCGAATAAAACTTTGTTACGAGTCAGCGCTGTAGCTGGTCTTTCCTATTCTCGTCCCCGTTTTTGTCGGTAGGTTTAAGATAGACGTGCAGCTGTGAAAGAATGCTAGATGATTTGAGGGATTACCAGCAGAACCGGGGCAGGGTGTTGTTGACCTGGTTGGTCAGGTCCATGTCGGATGTGACGAGCTTGCTCAGCCTCTGGTACTTGCTGCGGCACGGCCCGTCGGGCCGAGCCATGCGGCTGAAGCAGGGGGCGTGCTTCAGGTACTCTGCGCACAAGATGAAAGAAGGGCTCTTGCACGTAGAAAGAAATAAGACGTTTTTATTCATTATTATTATTATTATTATTATTATTATTATTATTATTATTATTATTATTATTATTATTATTATTATTATTATTATTGACTTAGGGCTTCCAACTAAGTTCCGCCCTTCTTCCGCGACGGGCGACATTTTTAAGTGAGCAGGATATTGCCACAACAAACCCAATTAGCTAGTGGTTAAAATAGCAGTAACACTAAATTTCAAACCCGACATGTGGCGTTTATTCGATTATTTGGTAGGCATGAGTTTATTAGCGAAATTTAAATGGCATCCGTTACGTCGAATCTATTCTATTTCGAGTGCAAAGAGTGAGCAATGCTCAACGGCACACTCCCGGCCATGAGACATCGTCAGTATTTTGACGTGTTCAGCGAGCTCCTAGGCCACGCACAAGGCGCTGAGTGGCTGTGAGCAAGCAGCGATGACGATGACAATTTTAGGGTGGTCATCGCGGTGTCTGCATGTGGTACCGTCTGGCGGCAACACCTGGCTGCCTGCCAACGGCTCCACTTTTCGCAGAGGGAAGCCTGGGCGGCATGAAGGAGAGCCTGTAAACCGCAGCCCGTACAGTGGACGAATATGCGCCCCACGAAAGCCATAATTCCTGCAGCATCGACCGAAATGTACTTGGTCCGTTATAACCTATCCCGGCGCAATGTACTTGTTAACGAGGCACATGAGATCCGTGTCCTTGGACTGCACATTTATAGACACCGCAGGGTCGAGGCAAGCTACGTAAGGCTGGAGAACAGGTGGGCCACCGAGTCTCCAACAAGCGGAGGAGGGGCCTCGAAAGCAAGGACGCGCTTTTGTCGCGTCTTGTGTACGACTCCGTAGTTGCACTTACAGAATCACCATGAATATTCTTTGGAGGCCGCCCTCGGCAAAATCGTAAAAAGAGCCCTAGGTTTCCCGATCGCTACTTCCAATGCAAAACTGTTTACCTTAGAAGCAGTAAACAGCTAGAGCTCCGGGGGGCTCACCTAACAAACCAATACAACCACCTGGCGCGAACACCGCCAGGCACACGACTCCTATAGATCGCCTACGCATTGGGCACGAATTCCACACAGAGGAGCAGGTACGAGAGACCGAACATTGGAAATGCGCGATTGATGTCCGACCCTTCTCTACCAATATGTCCCGGTGGTCGCACGCTGGCCGGCGAGAGCCGCGGGTTTCCTGGCACCAGTACGGCTCTAAACAAAACGTGTCTTACACGGGCATCCTTACCGCGGTGGTTGGTATACGGAGTACACAAAGGCAGGCATGTCCATCCGCGCACCCGATGCTACCCATGCTGAAAAGGTGGCCATATCTCTATCACACGGCAGTTCTAAAATTATTATAGCAGACTCCAAAAGAGCCTACCAGCATTTTCAACTGCGATGGATCCTACTGCCAAAGTTCTTGACCTTCTTGCCATCTCTTGACCCTCTTGCCAAATCTTAACCCTCTTGCCACTCACTAATCTGGACTCATGGCCATCAGTGCCAATGAGGCGGCGCATGCTGTCGCCCACGCACTCATTTTCCGGGCCTTGCCCACCGATTACCCTCCAGAAGAGAACAATCCTCTCCTAGCTTACAGAGGAGTAATTACTCTTTACTGGGACTTCGACCTGCAAAGGACTGGGGAAGGCGGACGAGAACATTTTCCCTCCTATTTGTCAATACGCTACTGTGCGTGGCAGTGCTTACGGATTTTGACTCTTCCTTTTCCGTCCTCTACCAGTACTGTGCGGAGGTGGTTGACACTACACCACATATATGGGCATGCCAGCGCAATCCTTCTTTACCCCAATCGAACCTGAGAGGACTTAGGTGCGGCTGCCAGGACCTTCTGGCCCGACAAGCCATGGTCCGGCGTGCGAGGACACGACCAATAGGGTCCCTGACTAGGGAATTCACCTTGTACTGTAAGGAAGATGACCCTCTAGGGGCCCGTTTCCCTGGCAACCTCTCTGTTGTAAAAATGTTTACCACAACGACCACCATCACTGCTCGGTCCACCGCAAATTTCATATCACTGCTTAGAAGAGCATATAAGTGAAAATGATGCACCACACCGCGATTTTATTGTCCTTACACGTGCGCACCGTGAAGACCAAGTTTCAATTGAAACTCGCGTCATCATTTCGCGTGGGCACGCCCTTACGGAAACGCCATACCTGGCCCATATATAAGTTATATCTGGCCATATATAAGCATATATGGCAGCATATGTGGCCATATATAGGCATATATGGCAGCATATGTGGCCACATATAAGCATATATGGTTGTATATCTGGTGGAGTCGGTTCATGTATGGGGTTACATACGGCCATATATGACGCGGTTGGCCCATATAAGGAGTCAAATCCGGCCAAATAAGGCACGGCCACACCATATATAACATATCAAGTGGATCCTTATATGTAAAAGTGCTCTCTTATTTGGGATGAACCACGTATATATTTAGCACCGTGATCACACTTTTATGCGAATTGTAATATATAACAATTTGGACACAAAGCTTATTTTTCATAACAATAGGAGTAATAAATATATATGTTGTTTCTGCCGTGCAAAAAAACCGAAATTTCAGGTCAGCTTTGTGTACGTGATAGTTGTAACTCAGTTGAATGCATATATGCATGCATTCGTGTAATTTAACTCGTACATTTTTCATGGCATTTAGGTTTGAAACAATAAGTTGCAATTAATACGACGTAAATAATGTATACAAGAGCAGACATGTTTTACGAGGAAGGAATCATGTCAAGTCACAAAACGTATTGAAGCTTCCGAACCTCGCTATTATTATAGAGCAATTATATATAGTATTGTGTAAAGACAAAATGCATGCAACTTATATTGTTCACATTAATGCATTGTTTAAAGTGGCAGCAAGAAATAGTAATTTCAATGCGCTTTTAGCTTCCACATCGGTGGACAAAATTCCTGATTATTTGAAAGTTTTGATGGCTATATGCTCCCTTCATATTACAAGATTTCTATTAATCCTGTTGACCTCTCATCTGCGATTGCTTTCAGCAGCCATTTACTATAATTGCATGCGCAGTGCAATGTTTAAGGGAGTATTTTCAAAAACAAAAGAACTTACGTGAATGAAACTTCCAGGCACCATTATGATTACATTCAAGATGGAAGTTGTACTTATTTATTGCAAAAATATATCTTGCGTTTCCTTTGGCTACGTATAATGTTCCTGGCTGTGCACATAGTAAATTTATCGAAAATTTTATGATTGCACAAGTGAACAATTAATTTAGTGTAATGTTTGCAAGCGTCAAATAAATCTCACGTCATAGACATGTACGTTAAAAAGGTGCAGCTGACTCACATGTGATACATATTTAATGGACAATGTAATAAAATGCTGAAGCTTTATAGCAACATTTAACGTAGGCTGCCGAATTCACAAAACTTCTATTTTGTGTCGGTGTGTCATTACTTGGTCGAGGTCACTAAAGCGCACGTGCCATCATCAGGATTAGCCTAAACATTGCCTTGTGAATACAATTAGTATGACACATTTTTGGCGGGCTGGCGTGATACCTAAGCCAAACTCTACATTATGTAAACAGCCCCTTGCTGTGCAGGCGCGTAATGATTCAAACTGCTTGCGAACATATCCTTTCAACACCAACACGGTAGTGCACTTATAAGATATGTATGCCGGTACATACCCACCAAACTGACAAGTGTACACTCGCGTATAGAGATTCATGGGCACCCGGACACTGGCATTTCATTCAATGTGGCTAGATATTTTCGGACATGTCAGAATGATATGAGTGTATTATTATTATTATTATTATTATTATTATTATTATTATTAATGTTGTTGTTGTTGTTGTTGTATTTCGCAAAACGTCCAACAGCGAATTCATATGCTGTCATACTGTGTCGTTATGTAAGTTTTATGAGATCAGTTATCTTGGTGTTCTTTTTGATAGCATGCTGAATTTTTTCTACTTGCATTAAATGTGCTGCCATGCGAGGCCTTCATTCTCTTCCTGTTGGCTCAACATCTCGCGAGAATCCGGTTCTCCTACAGCCTTCTACAAATTGTACACCGCGATATGTCGTCGTCAATTTGAGTACATATGCATATTTGATTTGGAATGGCCCTGCTATATCCAGCAGTAGCGCCACTGAGTGAGTCCAGAAAAATTTCATAAGCATTTACCCTCATTGCTTCACTAGAATCCTTTCAACACTGCTAGAATATTATATTTGCCATCAGTTAACGGCCGGCAAAATCGCGCTGAGCTGTTATTTCTTTACAAGCTAGTTCAGGGTGAGATATTCTGCCCTTCTCGGTTGTAATAGTTTTGAAACTTCGCGTAAGTTATCGAGAGAGAATCGACCGTTGCATGTACCTGCCAGCTTCTTTCAACACTCTATCCTTTGCAGAATACTGAGTCTATCTAACGTCAACTTTCTTAATTCGTTATGTTTTTCATAGTCTACAGTCATTTTCTTTTTGTCAGTGAGGGCTGCCTTGTCCTAACGTAGCTTTGCACATGCACAGATTCTTCCCTTTTCCGTCTTTCAGGAAGCCTTCGGCACGGTTATGTATATTCTACATTATTTTTCAGTCCCATTCCATGAATATCTACTCTTTTATTTGTTGTTTTCATTGTGCGTTGATTTCTTTTCGACTGCTCGTCTTTGCTCTTTTTATTGATTTGCATTTCTGTGGACAGTCTGTAATGTATTGTTTGTTTTTGTTTTCTTTTCGCGCGCGCCAGCATGAAAGACCCTATGGTTGTTCTTGGGTAGGTTAAAAATGATTGATTGATTATTGGTTGATTGAATATTATTATTATTATTATAAATGCTTGCGAAATAAGATGATAATTCGGCTGAAACGCGTCTTCGTAGCCAGCGTACACGAAGCAGCGATTTCAGCTCCGCGGAATGCCTGTCTCA